GCTAGGGTTAAGGGTTCAGGTTTAGAGCCTAGGTTAGGGCTAGGCTTAGTGTTAGGGTTTGGGGTCAGGGTTAGGTCTACGGTTAGGGTTTAGGCTTCGGGTTAGGGATTATGGATTAGGGTTCAGGGTTTGGGTTAGAGGTTAGGGCTTCGGGGGGGTCGGGGCGGGGGTGGTAGGGATGGGGTTCCGGAGCCGGGGCGCGAGCCGGGGAAAGGGGGGGGGGGGGGTTCGCCGACGACGGTTCGGGAAAGGGGGGTGGGGGGGGGGGGGGGGTGGGTTTTTCGCCGACGACGGGCTCAGCACATGGCAAGGGGAGGGGGGGGGGGGGGGGGGGCGGTTCGCCGACGACGAGCTCGGCAAGGGGCGGGGGGGGGGGGTGGGGGGGGGGGGGGGGGGTTTCGCCGACGACGGCCGGGCAAGGGAGGGGGGGGGGGGGGGTTTCTAACCCCCCCCCCCCATTGGGTGATCCAGCGGCGCGCCCGGAGAAACATCAGCGCACCGAGTCTGAGGGCGGACGGAGATCCTCCTCCTCCTCCTCCTCCACTCCTCCTCCCCTCCTCGTCCTCCTCCTCCTCCTCCTCCTCCTCCTCCTCCTCCTCCCTCCTCCTCCTCCTCATCTCCCCTCCCCTCCTCCTCCCCTCCTCCTCCACCTCCTCCTCCTCCTCCTGTCCTCCTCCTCCTCCTCCTTCACCTCTCTCCTCCTCCTCCTCCTCCTCCTCACCTCCTCCCTCGTCCTCCTCCCTCGTCCTCCTCACTCCGACTCCTCCTCCTCCTCCTCCCTCCTCCCTCCTCCTCCTCCTCCTCCTCCTCCTCCTCCTCCTCCTCCTCCTCCTCCTCCCTCCCTCCCTCCCTCCCTTCTGCCACCAGGGGGGGACGCCCTGGCAGGGGCCTCCCTTCTGAGCGGGCCACGTGTGGCCACGAGGAGCCACGAGGAGGCAGCCTCGTCCCAGCCCCGCCCGAGGACCCCCGCAGACGGGTCATCCCGGGCTGGCCGGGCGACCGGAGCACGGGGCAGGAGGGGGAGGAACATCAGCGCACCGAGTCTGAGGGCGGACGGAGGATCCTCCTCCTCCTCCTCCTCCTCCTCCTCCCTCCTCCTCCTCCTCCTCCCCCTCATCCCCCCTCCTCTACACTTGCACAACATGAGTACAATTCTCCTCGTTCTCCCGAAGACCCCGAAATCGTAGCCTGCCCCCTTCCGCGTATTGCCTTTTACACATCGGATCCCCCAAATTTGGTCGATCATACATGTTTTGTTCCCAATCCCAACTTTTTCGGTGTTTCCAGAATGGCTCTCCCGCTACAGCGTTGGCTCCATTTTCTGGCATTGGGTTCGTCCAAATCATATTCCCGCTGCAACGCTGACCTCATTTTTTTGTTGCGGATCTTCCGAATCTTGCTTCCGCTGCAACGTTGGCTCTTGTTTTACGCTTCCACTCTTTACGAACCATCCCTCTGCGATGCCATACGTTGCGTTAAAATGCGTCACAACGCAATGCCACGCCATGCTATGACATGTTACGCTCTGCCGTGCTCCTACACGCCGTGCTGCCCCGTGTACTACCATACATCTCGTATCCGACTGTGCGTATAGAGAAGAGATCTACGCCATGGCAAAGGATGGGAGGGAGGGGTAGGACATCAGATCAGACGCTTGTGCACCTAGCTTGTCCTCCTCCCCCTCCCCCTCCCCCTCCCCCTCCTCCTCCTCCTCCTCCTCCTCCTCCTCCTTGGTGGAGAACGGGAGGTGGGCGGGGGAGGGGCAGTGAAAGGGGGAGGGGGGGATGAGGACGAGGAATTGCGAGGGGCGGGTGGCAGAGGGAGGGAGGGAGGACGCAGAATGCGGAACACAGATGGGGCTTGCTCTGTAAAGGCAGGGCCCAGGGGAGGAACACGGGTGGATGACACAAGTAGTGGCTGTCGCCGTGGGCAGCTGCTGTGGTAAGGTAGGGGCGAAACATGCACGCGCTACAGAAGCATTCCTGCCCAGAGTGGCCCAGCATGCACCTATGATGCCATCTTCACCCACGCCAACATAATCAACACCTCCGTCATAGTCAGAATCGATCATATCATCATCGTCGGCCTGCTTTGCGAAGTCAGCGGCACGAATGAACGAATGTGTCAGTGCAAACAAAAACACCCAACGACTATGACAAAGGTGTGGGACCTACGCCAGAAGGGACCCATGTCAATTGAAGCCCCTCGCTCGTGATACAGCGGGAGGGTAGCCAGAAGGACGGAAACTAATGAGACATTGCGCTTAGAAACAAGCCGCTGTAGCAAGCGGCCCAATCGACCGCGGCCATTTCGAGAGGCGTTCTCCAAACGCACTGGCGTGACAAGTGTGAAGCATTATTCGACGAATCTGACCCGCAGAGGTACAACGTTTGTAAGGGACGACTTCCATCACAACGTGCCTCGCATCAGGAGGGCCGGAGCACTTTGAGTTCGAAACTGCCTTTTCCAGCCATCCTGTGCTGAGTCGGGTCCTCGCTTTCAATCGGCAGCGCCCCGCGCCCTCCTCCTTCCTCCTCCTACCCCCCTCCTCCCATCCCTGCCTCTGCACTCCACGTGCGCATTTCGGCACAACCCCCACACGCTTCATGGCCCGAGCTCCACCGGGGGGGCTCCCGAGGCAGCGCCCGCATGGCACAGCCGCGCCCGTTCGGGCACCCCCCTCACACGCTTCGTGGCACCATAGGGAGCTCCACCGAAGGCACCAGTGGCAACGCCCGCGTGGCACCGCCGCACCCGTTCCAGCACACCCCTCAGTGGCAGCGACCGCATGGCACCGCCGCGCCCATTTCGGCAGAACCTTCTCACGTGTCATGGCTCTATAGGGAGCAGGCCGCAGTGGCAGCGACCACATGGCACTGCCGCGCCCATTCCGGCACACCCCTTACCCGTTTCGTGGCCCCACAGGGAGCTCCACCTACGGCCCAAGTTCCCATCGAGGCTCCATAGAGCGCTTCGCCGAAAACCCCAATGACAGCGCCCGCATGGCACTGCCGCGCCATTTTCGGCACACCCCTCACCCGTCTCGTGGCCCCCCAAAGAGCTCCACCGAAGGCCCCAGTGGTAGCGCCCGAATGGCACCGCCGCGGCAATTTCTGCACACCCCTTGCACCCAATCGCGGCCTCATAAGGTGCTCCACCCGCACCCGTTCCGGCATACCCCTTACACGTTTCGCAGCCCCACATGGAGCTCCGCCGAAAGCCCCAGTGGCGCGGCCTGCATGGCACCGCCGCGCCCATTTCGGCAACCCCCCTCACACGTTTCGTGACCCTACGGGGAGCTCCGCCTATGTTTTTTGGCCCCACGGGGAGCTCAACCCAAAGCTCCGATGGCAGCGCGGCATGGCACCGCCGCACCCGTTTCGGCAATCCCCCTTCACACGCTTCGTGGCACCATAAGGAGCTCCGCCGAAGGCCCCAGTGGCAGCGCCCGCATGGCACCGTCGCGCCCATTTCGGCACACCCCTCGCACGTTTCGTGGCCCCACGGGGAGCTCCACCTACGGCCCAAGTCTCCAGTGGCAATGCCCGCATGGCACCGCCGCGCCCATTCTGACACCCATCACGCGTTTCGTGGCTCCATGGGGCGCTCCGCCGAAAGCCTCAATGGCAGCACCCGCATGGCACCGGCGCGCCCATATGGGCATACCCCTCACACGTTTCGTGGCCGTACGGGAAGCTCCACCGAAAGCCCCAATAGCAGCGTTCCCATGGCACAGTCACGTTCATTCCGGCAGAACCTTCTCACGTGTCATGGCCCCATATGGAGCAGGCCGCAATGGCAGCGACCACATGGCCCTGCCGCGCCCATTCCGGCACACCCCTTACCCGTTTCGTGGCCCCACAGGGAGCTCCGCCGAAGGCCCCAGTGGCGGCGCCCGCATGGCACCGCCGCGCCCATTTCGGCACATCCCTCGCACGTTTCGTCGCCCCATAAAGAGCTCCACCGAAGACGATACTCACAACCGCGGTATTGACAACTGCACATGTGTGGGTCCTTCGCCCAGACTTGTTGTGGCAGCTGGAAGTCCAGCACTCAACACAGCGGAAACGTTGGACGCTCTTATCCCAGGCCAATCCATGGGGCACTCCCCGAAGAGGAATGACGACGGAGAAGGAGGACAGAGGAGGGGGAGGTGGAGAGGACAGAGCTTGCCATCTACTTTGACAAAGGCCTTGATGGCCATGTGAGCCGCAAGCATTCCGACATGGTGCATCCCGAAAGTTGCTCCGTAGCAGCAGCATCCGAATCCACAAGATGCAAGTAAGCCCCACGTCGAGCAAACGAGTCGGCGCATCCATTGCAAACACTCAAGCTACTACCATACATAACGCCAAGACACCGAACCGCTTTTCACTCCCAAGGCGCCTGCGTGCACGAGGAGCACGATGGGAACACCCGTGGACGGACCCAATGAGCAGCGAGTCCCTTCCGAACCCAACCTGTTTCTTATTCGAGCGTCTTGACGCGATTGTAACCCCCGCCGCCTGAGCAAGCGACATAACATCTAGATGAACAAGCCGACTGCCAATAGCACCCGATACCACAAACTGTGACGTGAATGCGCCGCCACACCCCGGCGCGAGGGGGGCAGCATGCTGTAGAAGGGCACTTGGGGGCGGGGAAGGGGAGGGCCGACCTCAGTGCAACTCACTGGCAACCGCTGGGGCACTCATTCAGTCCACGTGGATCGGGGACATCATTGAGCAAGGACGCCACTGACGCCAGGGACTCGGACGAGGAGGTAGCGAGCAGGAGTAGGAGCAGGAGCAGGAGGAGGAGGAGGAGGAGGAGGAGGAGGAGGAGGAGGAGGAGGATGTAGACGAGCGCAGCAGAAGAGCTATGTGCCCAACGGACTGAGCAAGAGAACGCGACCAGCACGTGCGAACGGCGGCGCGTAGTGCCGCCGAGAGACAGCCGAATGGAAGGAGGGAAACGAGGAGGACGAAGATGGCGAGGGCGGCAGAACGGGAGCCGCCTGCCTGGATGGCTTCGCCGACCTCGTGCTACGGGCACTGGCCCCCTTCGGCGACGTCACGTACGGCTCGTCGGGCGAGTGGAGCAGATGCCCGTTGCGTATCCTGGGATGGGCGACGGGGGGGATGCAGGGCCCTTCACGCGCAAATCCGCTGACCAGACAGCCCCGCAGCTGTCAGGAGCGCACGTGGCCGAGAAACTCGAAGCCCCAGCTATCCCTCACATATCGATCCCAGGGTGCAGAGGGGAAGGGGGAGGAGGAGCGACGGCGGATGATGACCACCAGCAGGATTGTGATGAGGGTCGGCAGGGTTGCGAAGGGGATGGTAAGGGTGACGGTGATGATGATGATGATGATGATGATGATGATGATGATGATGATGATGATGATGATGATGATGATGATGATGATGATGATGATGATGATGATGATGCTGATGCTGATGCTGATGATGATGGGATGTTGTTGGTTCAGGATTTACTCCAAAAGTTCTGGGGTACCTAGAGGCCTCGTTGCTGGAGCCCGTGCGGGACAATATGGCAGCTAGGGAGTCTGGGAAGCCTGGGAACAGATCATCAACATGCAGTCATCAGCGGTGCTGTGTCGAAAGCAACTACGCAGCAGGGCGCAGCGAGAAGAGAGCCATCTAAAATACGATTGCGAAGCGAACGCCTCCCAAGACGAAACGAAAGAAGGATACTTGTTGGGGACGGGGATGGGGGCAACTCTGAGTCTTCATGTTACGGATAGTTTGCGCACGGGGGGAATACATAATGGGAGCGGCACGTTTGAATCCAAGAAAAAAACGATCCTGCAACGCGCAGCCATGACGTTACTTTACTCATCCGCAGGGCCCAGCGAGCAGGTGGACATGTAACAAACAAGCGCGTATCGAACGCCCGCAAAACATCCAGAAGCGTGGCCCTGGCGGAGCCCAACAGAGTGTCAGCCAATTCTCCGTACAGTCGGCGGGAATACGCTTGTGCTAATCTTGTCCAATTTAGTTCCCCAAGACCCAAATCCTCGAGATTATCGGCTGCCGGTCCCACACGTGATACAGCGACGACGGAGCTGAATCAAGTCCGACGGATCACATTTTCATAATCGCAGATAAATTGATTTGCGCCAGAGACCGCCAACTTGGCAAACATCGGAAGCCACATTTTCTACTGGTGGCATGGCCGACAGGCTCATAACTGTAGGAGTTTTGAACATACGCGACGACAAGGGGTTCTCGATACACCACGAGGTCTGCGTTCGGCTGCAAGCTTTCGCCGCTCGACTGGCAGTTCTCATGAATAAATGTCATGCAGAAATGTTGGCGCGATCTTCGTCCGAAGTGCTTGAGAGATCGCCACAGCTTGCTTTGGGCCTTACCAGTGATGAGCGCGGCACGAGGCGGGCTCATGCAAACGGCCACACAACGGCCAACTACTATGTCGCCAACCGGCTGTGGCATGACTCGCTGATACACAAGATTTCCCTCGGCCCGAGAGCAGCGTCGAAATGCCGCGCTGGAAGCCTTCGCAATTCACGCGACCCGCCTACACCGCAAGTGGTACTGAACAGATCGGCTGCGCATCTTCCTGCCCTCGCTTCGCTTCTCCAAGACCCGCAGGCGGCAGCGCGCTTCCCCCGTGGGTCACAATGGCCTCGAACTGCCTCTCGCATGCGGCTGCGCGCGCCGCCTGCCGCCTGCCCCGCGTGGCGCCGGCTGGTGCTGTGGCTGAGCCGCGCCGCCTTCTCGCGGCGCACCGCGCTCCGATCCTGTCGCCGGCGGCGCCAGCGCTTGACCTCGTCCGGGCTCCTCTCGTCCTTGGCCCGGTCGATCGAGGCGTCGATCCGGTGGGGCGCGAGCTCTCTGAGCCCCAGCGGCGCGGTCACCTTCTTGAAGCGAGCCGCGCGCTGCGGGCATAGGTGGCGCCCCATGCCAGACCGCCCGCAATCCAGCCCCCCAGCTTAACCAGGGCCTTGCCCATCCAGTCTGGGAGGAAGCGGCCGTCGATCAGCGCGTACAGGTCGCAGTCGCCTGTCATGGGCGGCTTTCTCCCTCGAGGTTGATCGGCAACGACTAGGTCCGGCTCGCGCCGTGTCTCGGCGCCACGTCGTGCTCGGGGGCGACGGCTAGCAGCTGCCCCGGCGGAAGGCATGTCGGCGCGCTGATAGACGCGGACAGCGCCAGATGTCGAAGGCCCTTCGTCACGAAGCCCCTCGCCAAGGCGCGCCGTGCCATCGATGGTTCTGGCCGTCGCGACCTCGACGGGGCACGGCCCCCCCGAGCCCCGGAGGGCGCGCCGGGGCCGAGGCGGTCGGCCATCGAGCCGCTCATGCCGCGGCGCCCGACGCATCAGGGCGGCCACCACCTTGGCCCCGTGCTCGGCTGCCCCCGCCCAAAGAACAGCGGCTCGAAAAGCTCGGCGAACGCGCCGCGGTGGCCGGCGCCGCTGACGGCCGCGATCCGCTCGGCGATCATCCCGCTCAGCTCCGCGAAACGCGTCGGCTCCTGCTGGCAGTCGGCCACCGCCCGCTTCGAGATCGGTCTGCCCTCGGCAGCTTCTGGCCGAGGGCGTTCGGTTGGCCTCGCCCGGAAAGTCATGCAGCCGCCGGCGGGGGCGCGCCCCCTGCGCTCGGGCGCGGCGCGCCCCTGCGTCCGCCGCGCTCCTTGGCGACCCGCTCGAGCCGGGGGCGGGCCGGCACTTCCGAGGCCGAGGGCCGTGCCCATGGGCTGCTTCGATATCGAAGTCGCCGCGCGCCAGAGCTCGCCCCCTCCCCTGCCCCTCAAGCCTCGCTGCTGGCGCCGCCTAACGCCGCGTCGCCGGCTGGGCCGCCCTGCTCGCCGAGCAGCGCGCGCGGCGCCGAGGCGTCGGGCTCGCTGCCGCCCCCGGCCGCGCTGGAGCGAAGCGCTGCCGCCTCGCGCCCGCGCGAAGCCGCCGGTGCATGGGGCAGACTGTCCGGTGCCGCCAGCGGGCTAGAGCCCGCGTGGCCACGAATGAGACAGAATGTGGAGGGCTGGCCTGGGCGATGTGTTTCAGGCAAACAGGCAAGCCATCTCCATGGCTCCGCGGGCGATCCCGGGGCCCAGACGGCCGCTCGAACACGTCGCGTCCAGGCCTGGCGCCCGGCGCGCCCCGTCGCTGAAGGGGGCCCTAAAGATCCAGGCCCATTGAGCCCCCCTCCGGAAGGAAAAACATCAGAATTCAAGCGGGGAGACGAGACGCAGATGGAAACGAATCATGTGGATGGCTCGTCTCGGCGCGCTGCCGTTTTATGTCGCGAGCAAGACAGTTGGCCACGAACGCGCGCATCGGTTTCAGCAAGCTGGAATCTCAACACCTGGAACGATCGAAGCGCAAACAAGTGCCCATGCTGTCGACAAGGAGGACCTGTCTGCCATCTTTTCCTCCACGCGTCACAATGTCATGGCGAGAGCACGAGCCTCGAACGCTCGAATGATCTGCTCCCGTTGCCACTTGCCCCGGAACTTTGGCACCCGCCCGTCGCGGGCCAGGGTGGCCGAGAGCGCCTCGAGGAAAGTCGAGTCGATCTCGAGCCCGCTCGACGTCGGCGCCCCCGAGGCCGTCGCGGTCGGATGCCTTCCGCCCCCGCCCCTCCTCGGGCGCGGCACCCCCGGCGAGCTCGGCCAAGCCTGCCGCCTGCCGGCGGCGGCCGAGTCGTCGCGGCCCCAGACTGACGTCGAGACGCCGCGGCCGGCGATGAACGGCATCTGTCCGAGGTGCTCCTCGATCACACAGGGCCAGAGGGAGCCCTGGCGGCCGAAGACTTCTGCGCGAACTCTTGCGCGGCGCGGATGCAGCTCAGCACCGGCCACCGCGCCAGAACGCGCAATGGCCAATGATTGCTTTCATTGCCTCTCCGTTCGCGCGGCCCCGAGTCGGGGGGCGTCGCGGCGCCCCGCGCAGTCGCCGGGGGCGCCGTGGCGTCAGCGCAGTCCGCTGCTCAGCTCCGCTGCTCCGAGCTCAACTGCTGCGTCAGACCGTCGAGCTCCGCTCCGAGGACTTCGGCGGCGCGTCGCAGCACCTCCAAGCCGTGTCCCAACAGGCCGAAACTCTGGAAGAAGATCTAGATGGCGCGCCGCAATGCGTCGGTCACGGCCGCGGAGCCCTCGCCCAAGATGCCGCGGTTGCCCACGCGAAGGCTGCGCTTCGCGCGCCCAGCTGCCTCTGAGCCCGCGGTGGACTACTGGGCCCCCCCGGCCAAATGGGCGGGGGCCCGTGGGGCTCTGGAGCCCTCTCGCGCAACGCCTCGCCGACGGTCTGACGGAGGCGCGGGCCCAGCGGGAGGGCCCGCGGCAGCGACGCCGTGAAATCGCCCTCCCCCGCGGCGCGGCCGTCGATCTCTTGTCCAACGACCCCGAACGCCTCGGCGGAGATGGCTGGCAGCCCGAACCACCGCGACATCCGCCTCGGCGTGGGCAGCCTTTGGAAGGCGTCTATGGCGTCCGCGATGCGGGCGCGGGTCTCGAGCGCCCCGCGGTCATTGCCGTCGGCGCCCCGCTCTGCCCCCAGGTTGCCGAGGCCCTCCGCGGTCGCCGGCCCCGCGCGCAGCGGCCGTCGGGAGGCCGGGTTCGCGCTGGAGCAGTCCAGACTCCTTCTTATATTCTTGTACTTTCCTTGCACTTGGGAAGCGCCCCGGGCGTGCATGCACGCCGTTTTGCGCGTTGGGCTCTTGGCAAGCTAAAAGCGCACAAAAATGCTACGCTTTCTTTCGGCAATTTTAGCGCAATTTTCTTCTGTAGCGTCTTTACACCCGTCGCTGTGGACCGTGATTTGCATCGATGTTTTTTTTCCGGTCGAAGGGTGTTCCGCGTTTTCCCCGCTGTCCTCGCAGAAGAGCATGCGCAAAAAGAGCGCTCGAACGCCAATCTAGCGCTGGCCCGGAACAAGCCCGGATCCGGCCCGATGGCCCCAAGAAGGGCAATCGTCAGTCGGGCCCGGAGGCCCGACGCCCCGGGAAGGGCTCCGAGGGCGGCAGGCAGTCGGCCTGGGAGAGCCGGAGGGCTGAGAACTGCACGGCAAGAGAAAGAACTGCGGACGTCGTAGACAACAATGTTTAACTTGCAACGACTGTCCCGTGCAAATGCTT